CTATGTAGGCTGAATCCAGGGTTCAGCAATAGTTATGCTATGTTATAGCGCATGCCGATGAGACTTCGAGTATCTGTGTTTAAAACATAAAGCATATAGAAAATACAAACCAAATAATTAACCATTCATTAAGTTTTTTTCTCTAGATCTATTTTCACCTTTGACTGTCTGGCTCGGTCTTGTATTGAGGATAGAGATTTGTGTTTTCATGAGGTCTTAAATATTTCTCTCTTTCTGTGGTGGTTTAAGGACTGGCCTAGCTTTTGTGGGGTTGCCATGCCATCTTACATGGACCCAAGATTTTGCTTTACCTTGAGGAGTTGCTTGGGCACAGTGATGTAACCTATTGTTTCCTCACCCCTACCCCGTCCCATTTTGGAAGGTGAAGGAGAAAAATGTGCAGTAATGGCTATGTACAGCAGAAGCATTTTGCTGACTTTGAGTGGCTATGTTCAAATTTGTACAAATTTTATATGAAAGCCATTACATTTCTCATTTTTTCTCCCCCCGTTGTCTTTCATTCCTGCAAAAGAAATCCACCAACAGAAAATATTTTTCGACTCTTTCCATCCTCATCCCAGACCTTATATTGACATTGAAATGTTTCCATTGCATTGTAGTTGATGATAATGAAGATGGTATCAGCTTGCGTTTTAGAAGTGACTTGCTTAAAATGCTTAGAGTTGCAAGTCTTCTATGGTACCACTGAGAACATTTTCGCAAAGTGATGATAGAACGAATTTTCAGAGGTAATATTTAAAGCTTGACCATGAAGGACATGGTAAATTGAACTATATTTTCTCAAGCATGATTTTGGAAAACAAGGATTAAAGTATTTTTAATATGACAAGAAAAATAGGTGAAATAAAATAATAAAGCCGTTTGGGACAAATTCTGAGTTGAAACTAGGTTGAGCTTTTGCTATAGGGACTATTAAATGTGAGTTGAGAGCCTGAAAACTTCTGGGGAAAGACTGAAATGAGTATAAATGTGAAAACTAGTTTAAGTTTAAGGTTGTCTTCTATGATTTAATTTTGACCAAAGATTTTAAGTGGCTATATTTTATTTTTTAGGTTCGTGGCTATGATATAGCAATGCCTAATGCAGGCCCTCTGTTCAGAGTTCCAATAACTGTTGTTATCCCAACAAGGTCAGTAAACTCAGGCTTTATCTGCATTTTTTTAAGATTAGTTTCGTTTTCTGTACCCATTTTACTTGTTGTCATTTATTTCACCACCTTCTTTCTCTGGGAGTTCTTGAACTTACAACTAACATTGATAAGGGAGCAGAGATCTGAAAAGATTCTTGCTGCAGACTTACACAGCAGTGGCTTTTTTGTAGTTCTGGTCCTGGCAGCCAGAAGGCAGTGTGTTCTGGTGGGCTTAGTCACAGTGGCAACAGCGTCCTGGTCCATCAGAATACAGATGACTTCTGGCTTGGTGACCAAAGTGTCAGTCAGTATACTCATAAGTGTAGAGCAACTGGAGTTTGTTTTTTCACTTCTAACTGGTGGACTAGAGTATATAAAGGTAGGGGGCATTGCTTGGCAGGTGAACATTGGGATAAACTTCCATCATGACTTTAATACAGTGAATTTAGAGGGTTAGTATTGTGCCCATCATTGGTTTAAACAGATGACTTCGGTGGTCTTGATAAGGAAGGAGAGTATCTTACTAAACCTATTCAGTGGACAATCTACCCTGAGAAAAAACCCGTAACTTTTATCTAACTCATTACTAGAAATATTACTTCTTACATACCTTAGCTCGCTTTAGTGGAAAGTCACTCAGCCAGGAGAAGCAGATCCACTGAAAACTAGGATTCTTTGGTACTCATATTTAGGCACAGTAACTTCAGGGAGGTAGGGATCTTTTAGATACGTTGCACTGTCAGATTCTCTACTAGTACGGTTTAAAATAATCCACACTAGTATGGATTAAAATAATAGGTGCTGAGGTCAAAATATCCTGATTGTACACTTTTTTTGAGAGTATTTTTGCATTTAAAAATATTTCTTAGAAAAAAAAAAGGAGGCTTCACAGTGTTTGATTACTGTTTGTGTTTTCTTTTTGACATACAGAGTAGATGAATCATCAAGTTATGACCTGATATATACAGATGTTCATTTTAAACCTGGTCAAATCCGAAGGCACTTCATTGATGTTCCACAGGGAGCTACGTGGGCTGGTAAGGAAAATGACCACATTAATTAAATAAAAAAATCACATCTGTCAGACTTGACAAAATTGTTTTGAAATAATTTTGAGTTCTGCCTGAATAAGAACTGAAGAATTTGACCCATGAATGCATGAAATATTTATTTAATTTCAAGCTCTTAGATGGGTGATTTTGAGTTATCTCATGGTTTCTGGTATGGTAGAATCCTCGTTCTCAGTTTTCTAGAAACCGGCAAATACAATCTGAAGTGATTGCCCATAACTGGAGGAGTACCCTGTGTTTATGGAAAAGTATTGCTGTCTGAGGTTTGCCTAGTTTTGAAAGATGTCTGAACTGAAGAAAATATGATTTTTGTGACGGGCAAGTAGCTCATAATTCTGCAAGGAGGAAAGAATTTGTTTTTTTTCCTTGTCTTCCTGTGTGAGATTATTAAATAATAATCCTTTCAAGAATCTTCCATTTAGACTGAAGTTAGTGATGAGACTTTTAATTTTGAATACGGCAGCAGTCTGTCCTGTACAGATTATACATCTGTACTATCTGATTAATTTTCACCATTTAGTTGAGTAATGTTTCTCTTAACTGATCTCTGAACTTATCTGGTTTTCCTTGATCTAAAAGGGTCTTTGTAAATAACAGATATACAAGCATTATTCGCATATGGAGCCACTTGGGGTACTGCATAACTTCTTAAATTACAAATTACTTGTGAAACTAATGTTTTTTCTGGTGAATCTCTGCTTTCCTTCTAAAATTCTTGGCTCTTGAAACTAAACTTGATTTTTTTTCTTTAATCTAGAAGTGACAGTATGTTCATGTTCAGCTGATGTGACTGCCAAGTTTGTGCTTCATGCTGTTCAGCTAGTGAAACAAAAAGCATATAGAAGTCATGAGTTCTACAAATTTTTATCCTTACCAGAAAAAGGATCAGTGACTGAAGCATTTCCTGTCTTAGTAAGTTACTTTAGGGTGGCATGGGGGAAGAGAGAGAAAGTAATACCAGTACAACATAACTCATTCTGGATTTCTTTTTCCAAAGAAAAACCCCAAACCCATGAAGTCCTGCGTTTGTTATGGTAGCGAATGCATCTGTTTTTCAGTTTTGAAAAGATCTCTTATAGCTTGCTAGTGTTTCTTAATTGTTTGGTAACGCCCGTATAATACATGTTAATCTCTTCAATTTCTTGGTACTTGTTTCTACAAACCAGTTTGTTTCCTGTTCAGACAGGGGCTATGACTTTAGATATAGTTGAGCATGCTTTGCCTTTAGTGTTTAATGTGGTAGTCTGGGACATCTCCCTGATGTTGAAGCTGACTGGCTTATGTTCATACTGCTTAGATACAGCAGGCCTAGCCTGATTAATGCTAGCTCGAGAGTCCAAAGTAGAACCAGGGAGTGAGCTATCAACCATTGAGGGGTGTGGGTGACAGAGTCCGCTTCTCAAGTTTGTCCCCTGCTTTGCATAATTTAGTTTTATAACTCTAAAGCCTAAAAGTGGTTATGATTTCTGTGCTATTCAGTCCCTTACCCTCTGAAAATGTCAGGTAGGGGACCCTAAGCTAAGTTTGTCCCACTGACACATTGTGAATTTTATCATGCTAGTTAAAAAAAAAAAAAAACAAAAAAAACCAAAAAAAACCCAACAGAAAACCCTAACCAAACAACCAAAAAAAACCAACCCAAACCTCCCAAGCTTCGTGTCATCTTATTTAGTCAGGGACTGGGATCCCTTTTTCTGATACACATTTTCGAGGGCACACACATTAAACTCGGCTATGAACTAACCTGTCTGCCTAGTTTGAAGAATAGGAAAGGAAGATGTCACATTTAAAAGCTGTACCTTTCTCTGTAGGGTATACCTCTGGCATTCTTTGTTTTGATGTAATCGTCCGTCATCCTGCTTTGTTGAAGCTGTCTTGTGGTTTCTAGACCAAGTAGAATGTCTTATTTGTTACCATACAAATGTATACAATTGGAGTGAATTGGGCATAATGGGGCCTTTTTTAAGCTTTACTGCAATTTTTTTTGGCTTGGGATGAGGGAAGCTGGGGTGAATAGAAGGAGATGATGAGAACTTGAGTCTAATTTTGTGCTTTTGTTACCTAGGCTGGAAAAACTATTGAATTCTGTGTTGCTCGGTGGTGGGCAAGCCTTAGCGATGTTAGCATTAATTACACAGTTTCTTTCCATGGTGTACTTTGTGCTACTCCTCAGCTAAACATGGTAAGTTTTTCAGAGTGTTTATTTTGAATTATTCTGAAGTCCTGTGGTACCTCAGAATAAAAAAAAGCTTTTCTTCATTCTTGCCTGTATTTAGAAAGACTAAAAGTATCTTTATGAATGAGATGTTCATGTTTTCTCTTAAAAATAGGTACATAGGAGTTCAGTCCCACAGAAATGCCCATTACCATTATTTATGATTATTTTTCTATGCCTTCTCATCATAAATCAGTAGGGGAAAAAAAAAACTGAACAAAAAACCCAAACCCAGACCAGTAGAAAGGACAAACTAAAAGGCTGAAACTGTCACTATACTTACACTAGCAAGTGTTTGTGTGAATAAACTTTGCTGGGACCACAGTTCTGGAACTTGAATACCTAGACTACCATTACTAAAAGACAATAATCTGAATACCACTTTCAGAATAAAATATAAAATGTCATTAAAATTTATTTTCTGTTCGGTGTTTTATTGAGATGTGCCAACTAGCTTGAGATTCGTCATTTAGGGCAGTTGAAGGCACAGCGGATGGGCAGTGTCATGATGCCTAAGGCTCTGTGATACTAAAGGATTGAAAAAATTGCTGAAAACGTTAGTATCATAACATTTACAGTACTTTGTCTTCCTCCTGTGTTCTTTGGTGTCCTGTGCAACCTGGCTTGGCTTGAGTTTGCCTCACCCAGGAGAGGGCTCTCTGAGAACTGAGATGGCAATACCTACATGAAGCAGCACCATGCTACTTTATCCTGGCCCCTCTCTATTTTTTCAGCTAAGGACCAGAACAAGTTATAGCATATTCATGGGTGAATTTGGATGTATTCAGGCTCTAAGAGCTGAATAAACTGGGGGGAAAAGAGTGAGTGCCTTGTGCTAAGGTACCAGCTCTTGAACCAGTAGAACAGGAAAAGAAATAACTGGTGGTGGTGGTCTGCACAGCAGCTCCCTCCACCCCAGCAGGATTACATCAGCTGAATAATGGAGAGTTAAAAATGAGAGAATACCAACAGTTTTGCCCTTCTTTCTTCAGTACCTGTAACTTTCATAAAATAAATTTTAATAGTGCTGATATACTGGTGACTCTGTCATGAGATACTGCTGGAAAAAAAGTTTTCAAATGATTTTGCCCATCACTAGCCTGTCTATGTAGTATTGTTTGTTTTTCACAAAGTTGAGCTATTCTGTGATAATAATCCTAAGCAGAAGCACCAAAAATACTCATTTTAAGATTCTACTTGAATAATATTTGCATATATTGAATTATATATTCAAAGGAAATCATCACAAATGCACAAAGAAAACCCAGCCCTGCCCAAAGTGTGACTTGTAGAGTTCTGTACAAAGTAATTAAATTATTGAGGGGAGGGGAACATAAATAAGACTTTAGCTCCAGTTGCTAGTTTTGCGAGTCCCAGTATATCTGCTGCTGTAAAATAGAAATAAGCTTGTGACACTTTCAAACTCACGTAATATTACTTCTTATAGTATAGATAAATACGGCTTGTGTTGTATTTTTTAAGGGACATATCAGATGGTCCACTTCTGACATTACGTGCACAGAAGCATAATTGTTATATACTCTTTCTTTAGCATGCTTCAGAAGGCATCGTACGATTTGATGTTCAATCCCTGTTGAAGTATGAAGATATTGCTCCATGCATAAATCTGAAAAGCTGGGTTCAAACGCTCAGGTAGAGTTTCTGGGGAACTGTATTGGGCAAGTGGGAAAATAATTTGTATGTAATTAAAACAGTAACACGTTAACAGTGAAATTTAGGGTAACAGCAATATTATTGTCAAATTTTGAGTAGGTTTGGAAGCATCAATTAATGCAATTTCTCAGCAGTCTCTTTTTTAACTTCAGCAAAATTTGAGAAATTTTTTTTCATACAAATTATTTTCTTTAATTTAAAAAAAAAAATTACAAAAATACTCCGTTGCTTCTGAAGGAGACACTTGGAGGTAAAAGGCACTTTAATATCTAGAGGAAAAAATTGTAGGGTTACTTGGTGGTACTGTTTGTTGTCTTGTTTTTTAAGCAGCTGCTTCTGGTCCTGCCCAATTTTGACCTGGGAAGACTGTCTTCTCTCTCTTGCTTGATCGGAAGTGTTTTTGTAGGATCTGGTACAGGATTTTGTGTGGAAAGTTGTGTTTATCTTGTTGTCAGTTTGACACATGCTGATTTGGAGGAAAAACTTTGTTGGATAATTCCTAACCAGTGCAGCAATTACTAAAGTCGGTCACTTGAGGAGGAAAAAGAAGTGCCATACAGTTTGAGCAGTGCTTTTAAGACTTGGGCCAGACAATTTCACAGCGGTCAGTAATCCAAAGTGTTCCATTTTTTGGGCCTCTCAGTGGAGACCTTGGGCTCTGTCTAGCATTTTTGGATACTTGTAACCGGAATTGAGGTTTAATGAACATGCCACCTAATGTTAGATTCAGAAATACCCAATTTGATATGCCTTGAGTGAGGAAATAAAACAATCCCCTAATATCTGTGCCTCGTTCTTGGTTTGTAAAATGGAGATGCTCTTATCTCCTTATAATATTTGAGGTACTCATCTGACATAAACAAACTGCAGTTAAGTAAACTAATGAGAAATATTTATGTATATAAATAAAGGCATGAATAGTGTCTCTGAATGAAGTACTGAGTCATAACACAGAGGAAAAAAGTACTGAATGGCTTCTTATTCAGTCTCTTGAGTTTCAAATGCTTGGAGGTAGGGTGAGTATTAGGGAGACGTATCATGCTTGGTATTACTTGGTTCTTAAGTCTGTCAGCAGTCTATCTGATGTCTACCAGACTAGGAAACCTGGGTTAACTGGACTTGTGGTCTGACCCAGCACAGATATTTTACTGGGTGACTAGTCTGGGCTCTTGGCAGTGAAAGAGCTAACAGAATCTTACAGAAGAATTTTGATCATATAATTAAACATTGTCAGAATGAAGGAAGGAAATGTGAACTTAAGTGATGCCAGGCCACCCTCATTCTGCTATTCTTTATTTCTGAAGTTCTGATTTTCCTATATCGTTATTATTTAGCCTATATTATTTGATGCTTAAGGTCTGAAGTGTTTGTACTGCTCTGAACGGTAGCTTGTCCTAACTGTACCTGAGTTTACATACGCTACCCAGGTAGTGTGTTTAGTAGTGTATTCCAAAAGTTATTTTTGACCATTACCTAGATAGTGTATGTTATCATTCTTCTGTGTTACTACTCTGATTTGTGTAAGACCTCTTACAGATTCTCGTCTGGTATAACCTATAGCAATTACCAGCTATTTATTCTGTCCTCTAACTACTGTGACATTAATCTTTCAATCTATGAATAAAAGTGCAGATTGCAGCATGGATACTAGAGATGTAAAGGAACCTGATTTTTTTTTTTTTCCTAGTTCTGAAGTCTTTTGGTTCCTTCTCCCCCTTTTTTTGTTTTTAAATGGCATTTAATTTTGAGCATTTAAACGTGTATGCTAAGTTCTGTTGGCTTCTTTATTTGGCAGTGTCTGTAATGTCACTAAACCTTGTTTTTGAATTGACATTCATTTTAACTGAGGAATTTATGCTGCCTGGATAGTTACAGTATTTTAAAAGATGTTACTGCATGTACTGAGTTCAGTTGTACTTCAGAATTTGCTTCTGCTTAAGCAAAACAAATTGTGATAGAGGATATGTGTTTCTTAAGAGTATCTTCTGTTGTTTTTTGTTAACTGCAGACCAGTGAGTGCAAAAATAAAACCTTTGGGCTCCAGAGATATTTTACCAAATAATCGTCAACTGTATGAGATGGTTTTGACCTATAACTTCCATCAGGTAAGGGTTATGGGTGGTTGTTTTTTTTAAAAGTCATTAATAAATACAGCTTATTTTCTAAACCCAAATTTCAACTTTAACTAGCTTTCTGTCAGAAACGAGGTCTAGATTCACACTCTAGACTCTCTACAGTCAAACTTCTGATTTGGTTCTTTTCAGGAGCTGCTGTTGCTTGAAGTGGGCTTTAGTTCAGGTATCCTTTTGAATATGCATGTAAGGATTGTATTTGTTTTATGCAGTGGTGGATTAAATGTTTTGACCTTTCTTTTAATAGCCTAAGAGTGGAGAAGTAACTCCAAGTTGTCCACTTCTTTGTGAACTGTTGTACGAATCTGAATTCGATAGTCAACTGTGGATTATTTTTGACCAGAACAAAAGACAAATGGGTTCAGGAGATGCCTATCCACACCAGGTACAGAATAATGTATTTATTTTACCTTCTATTGTCTGCACAGTGTGAAAATTTTCATTCTTTTTCACCTCCCAGGCTGACTGTTAGCTCCTAATATTTCCTGATGCATAGGTATAATGTTCTTACATTTTCACAAGAACACAGGTTCAGTGCTGATATATTTGTATGAAAAAAAGTAATGACAGGTTTGTTTCCATCAAATAGAACATTATGATTTTTTTTTTTTTCCCTCTTCCAAGGAAGGAGAGTTACGGTGTGGTTTATTTCTACAAAAATCTGTTAACTTGTGATTTCTTGTGGTCTTGACTGGTGCTTTTCAAGAAGGGGATTCAAGTTCTTGTGTTTTTGTTTGGGTTTTTTACAAACATGGTAACTTGAACTTTTCTATTTAAGGTGGAAAGGATCCATTATTTTTAATGTAGTCTGACTTGTCCACTGATAGATCAGAGGCTTCTGTGTCCGTGAAGGCTGTCGTCTGTGCTGTTGATGTCTTCAAACAGCCTTTTAAATGCTATGGCTTGATCTGCTTCCTGGTGCTGTCTTTCAAAGGGAGGTTTTTGCACAAGGCTTGCGGATACTGTAGCCTTTATGAGACAATCCTTTTTCTTGGA